ATCCGATTATCTGGATTTATTTCGCCGGGATGCCGAGGCAGCTGTCAGGACCCCATCGGACTGAGATGTCAGTTTGATGCGACCTTGGGCCTCTCCAGACTTGATTATTATTTGAATCTGGAGAGGGGTACCCCCCCCCTCTCCAGATTATTCAATATCGTTTTTATTACTATCTTTTTCTTGAATGACCCCCCCCCTCTCCAGATTTATTCTTACTTGAATAAACGGATTCGGACTCCTTCCGCCAGCCATTTCGCCTGATTCAATCAGTTGCATGTCACGTAAGTCACAGTCCGCGACAACCTATGTCACTGTGCACCCATTCACCTCGCCGTCTTCTCCGTTCTCTGCTGCGACCACGAGATCATCAACCCCACGCGCGCGATCGAGCCCGGGCCTGCTCTCAACGCGCATCGCGGCCTCAAAGGATGAGGCATGGGCGAGCATGGAGGCGATCACAGCGAGGGGCTTCTGCGTCTACGCGGACGGCTCCGGGTACGAGGGTGGGGTAGGGGCGGCTGCGGTGACGGAGAGAGGAGGAGTCTTAGGAGAGCACTGGCCATTGCATCTCGGAGAAAGCGGTGAGCACACTGCACCGGCGCGGCTCTCGCGCTCGACATCATTCAGTCCACCCCGCGCTCGATGAGCGCGGACATTTTCATGGATTGCCAGCCGGCAATCAGGGCCAGTACTTGCTCGCAGCATTCCACTCCACCCTGCGGCTTCACTGCGCCTGCCCCTCCCTCCACCTGCGGATCCACTGGGTTCCCGCCCATGCAGGCAACCTCCTTCGCGCGTGCGTCGACGGCCTTGCTGCCCAGGGTTCATCCACCCCCCTCATGTCCCGCGTCCGAGCCCTCGACGCGCCGCTCTCCGTCAGCAAGGCGGCTACTCTCGCCACCAGCGCTGCGACGTTCCGTCAGCGCTGGATCACGGAGTGGTCTACCTCCCCCCGTTTCCAGCGCCTCTCCACCTTCGACAATGCCAAGCCCGGCAACGTGGTCCAGCGCCTGTACTCGGGCCTGTCGCATCCCCAATGCAGCGTGATGACGCAGCTGCGCACCGGGCACATTGGCCTGAACGCGTACTTGTTCTGCTTTCGCCTTGCCCCTCCCCAACTGCACCCACCGCGGAATCTATTCCCCATCTCCTCCTCTCGTGTCGCGCTCACCACCTCCACCGTTTGCGACTCATCCAGCGTCTTGGCACTGCGCGACTCTCGCTGTCGCGCTTGCTCGCCACCAAGTCGCACGCGAAGCCGGTTCTCGACTTCATTCGAGAGACTGGCCGCCCGATACGCCATGTAGCCGAAAATTACCTTACCTTTTAAGTGGAAAGTAACCTTATTCAAATGTATCCCTTACGGTGTGGTAGTAGAGCAGGTCGGCTATTCCGTAGACACCTCGTGATGTAGTTGATCAGCCATCATTCTACCCTTGTCCGTGTCCGTCATGTGCCTCTGAGTGGCCGTCGCCTTTCCCTGCTACATATGGTGATCAGAGCGATTCGACGATTCACACCTACGGACCAGATTCCGCTTTCCGCTGGGAGGATCATTTCTAGCTCTTTTTCGGCCTCACCATCCGTCGACATCTGTTTTGTGCGGCCTGCATCCACCTCACCGAGCTTTTGATCGAGCTAGATCTTACTGGTATCACCATTACTACTTCCCATCCACCTTTGGCAACCTTTTCGACTTTATCGGCCCTGCGCTCGCCGTCCTACCCTCATCGACACCAATCCCACCGTGGTGGCGCGTGGGAGATTTCTCCGCCCCATTTGGACGTGTGGGAGCGTTCTCGTAACAATGCTTTGCGCTTGCGAAACGTGGCGACGCCTGACTGTGGTCAGTCAGGCTGTCCTTGCCTTGGAATACTGGGGGTCTAGGGCAAATTGACCGGCGATTTTTATCGACTACGTGGAGGTTATTGCTGCTACCCTTTCGCCGCTGTCCGAGGTATCCTCCGGCCCCGATCGTACTGTCCGCTTCCAGTTGAATGCGATCATTCACCCGCTTCCGATTTCTCCCGACTTCCGCATGGACCTTTTCCCATTCCTTTCGATATTCGACATCTTTCCGCGATTCTTGGGGCCTCGCTGGAGGACAAGTTATAAAACCTGAGGCTTGGATGGGTTAGGTCTCTGGGATCGCGACGAGGACGTCGCTATTCTGTTGGGTGGGCACTGGGGTGGAACGGTGCTATCACTCTATCATCCACTTCATATCTGACACTGCTGTGCTTCCTTGGACCTCACCGGAGGACAAGTTATAAAACCTGAGGCTTGGATGGGTTAGGTCTTTTGGGATCGCGACGAGGACGTCGCTATTTTGTTGGGTGGCCAGATGTGGTAGTAGAGCAGGTCGGCTATTCCGTAGACACCTCGTGATGTAGTTGATCAGCCATCATTCTACCCTTGTCCGTGTCCGTCATGTGCCTCTGAGTGGCCGTCGCCTTTCCCTGCTACAACGGGAACCCGAAGAGATTATATTTTCCGAATAAACGGACATGCCGACATCGTTTGGCACCCCTCAAATAGGCTCAGATAATCGGACGCCTTTTTCTAAGCTTATGGGAAGTCACCCATTACCAGGTGGACCTTATATCGCGACTCTCATCTTATCGGGCTCGGATAAGGACGGCCGGTCCTTACGGCCTGATAGGACCTGATAAGGCCTTATCAGCTTCGGCCAGTTTTTCCGACACACGCGCGCGATTTCCGCTATCCATCCATCTTCTCCCTTGTCTATTCTCGACCCTCGAGAAGTTTCCCCGTCGCCAAGCAATTCCAAACGGCGCGCCGCTTCTCAACTCTCCATCCACGATCGCACGCACGACTTCGAACTTATCTGCGCGAGTTTCGCTATACCGTCTTCTGTCTTCTCGGTTCACTGGCAGACACTGACGTCTCCGTCGTCTGCCCAAAGTCTAGATCTCTAGATCTCCGAAGCCACCGTCCGAATCCGAATCTGCCCCAAGCCGACGAGCCCAACTTCACGGGGTCTTCATTTTCACTCGCAGTGTAAATTTAACATTTTTTATCTCCACGACTCGGAATCGGGAGCCTGTGCGCCTCGGCGCTCCACCACGTCCCGTTCGTCTTTGCCTTCGTCTCCTTTCTGCCTGCTGTCTATGCCGGATCCCAACCCCCTGCCTGCCAGATCTAGAAGTTCGAGCCTTCTCCACGGCCACATACACACCCTCCTCGAAGTACGCTTGCGTTCTCCGTCCGCACGATTTCTCAAGGTCTCAAGTCCTCCCGAATCTCTCAAGTCGAACCTGTCGGCACTAGACACATCTGAAGTTCAAGTCGCTGGACCCCTACCACTACTATTAAAGGAACGAGTTGACTGTTAAGGAAACCGGTATTTTGACGAAATCAACACGTAAATACCCTTGATGTAACTGTAGTTACAAAATGAACTGCGCTGCAGCTCGGATGATCTCTGTCGAAGAGTTCAATGGAATCCCCGTAAGAGGACCTTGGTTCAACTGGTTTCGGTAGGTATCGAGTATGCAAGACGCCGGTACTCGATTCAAACCAACCTGACAGCAACTATAAATGAACCTGCAAGACGCGAGGGTTCACTGATAGATTGCACAAAAGGCTACAATACGTGGGCCTTTCAGAGGGCGATGAACATGCAAGACGCTGGTGTTCGAAGCGAGAGATTGCTAGACGCGGAACTCTCAAGAGACTTAATTCAGACAGAAATGGGGCGAGATGAGAGTTGTATTCAAGATTGAGTGTCTGGCTACATGGTTTCTCAGTTACTTATATACTAATTCTAGGCTATGAGTCACTATGACTCATTACTCTTTCGCCGCTCAGAGTTGCGGGAACGCAACGACGAATCAGTAGCTCTTGACTCAGATTCTGAACCGTGGGAATGGACTCGAAATCGGTACAAATGATAGCCGGTATGTACGTAGAAACTAATACTAAGTAAAATGTACTAATATCCATAACATTGACACTCTGCAAATTAAACGGTGGACTCCTATTACGGCTACGACTTTGCGGGCTCCACCCACGGGCCACGATATTAATGAAACGGATCGATCGAGGGCGCCTCCGAGTCCACGAAGCCCGTCTGTCTGACTTCCTTCCTCCTTCCTTCCTTCCTTTATTTCTTCCGAGCGAAGACCATCCGCTTAATTCCTTGCTGTTTTCGACAATCAACGCCACCCACGTCCGGACCGATCAATGTGCGAGACGTGTACACCTAGTCTCGTGTTCCATGATATATTACATGCGATTAGACAGAGCGTGCTTGTGTGCGTGCGTTCCCAAAAGACGGCGCCCTGCAGGCCGCAGTTGAGAGCACCGCGTGCCGTATCCGAGATCGCCCAATCGCACACGGGATATTGGAGCGGCCTCGCATGCAGATTGCGTTCAAATTCTGAACCATCGCGTCCTGAATATTGATTCATCTCTCCCGGTCTGCGATCACGCACACTGTCCGTTCGTCGCTTGACCTCGAGGCATCCATCCGGATCCAAACTGCTAAACCCGCGCATCTACACGCATATCCAACTCGTTCTTCTCCGTCGCCCGTATTCCCCCCGTTTCCGTTTCTCATCCCTTGCACACTTCCTCACTTCCTCGATCCCGCGTCCTTTTTTCATATGCAGCTATACCTTATTTCAGCCCTTCCTGACTTACGCCTCCAGCTCATTGATTGATCGTAATAAATTATGTAAAATCACCTAGTGATCCACCCCCGGTCGAGTGTGAGTCATGCCGCAACAACGACCGAGCGTGCGGACCCAGCGCCAACCGAGTTGTGACGCATCCGAGCGTGTCAGGTTGAATCATAATGAATTTATCGTTGGACTCGGATGCGGATGCTATGGCTGGAATTTCAACCCGCAGTGAAATGAAATGGCTGACATATTCAACTCGTGGGAGGGAATGGGTAGGTAGGTAGATAGGTAGCATTACACGGCGCGGTCCCCTGAGGAACGCCGGTTTCCAGGGATTATCTAATGTACAGGCGCCGTTTAGTGGTGTAGTGGTAGCACACCTACTTTACATGTGCGGTTCGTTGACCAGTTTAGTACGAAGTCTTTGTTCGATTCAAGGCCAGGCCATTCAATGATGGTGTAGTTCTTTTTGGATCAAGGCACACGAAATCCACCGTGGCTTCACTTTGTGTGAGATCGTAAGAGTGGCTTGGTGGTGTAATGGGAACATGCTCACCCCCCTTTGAAGGGTAGTGATGGTATTTTGTGGGAGCTCCTTGTTCGACTCAAGGCCGGGTCAAGTCTTTTTTGGCGACGTTTTTTGTTCTCGTTCTTCTCTGGAAACTGGTGGATGTATTCAGCTTGTGGAATGGAGAAACATGGTCTGGGGGTGTAACGGTGTCAAGAATACTTTCTCTTATTGAGGAAGTTTTCAGATCTTAGGAGTTTCTTGTTCGATTCGAGGCTGCGTTCGGAGTGTTTTTATTTCTCGCTCTCATGCAAAAACTCTTGAATCTATCCAACTTGTGTGAGATCATAAGGAAGGTCTGGTAGTGTAATAGGAACCCATCCACTGTCGTTGAACGAAACCCGAGATGAGTTATGTGAAAGATCCTTGTTCGACTCAAGGCCACGCCGTCCCTTCTTATCCATATTATTTTTCTTTCCCGCTCCTACCTTTCAATATAAGCCTCGGTCCTCATTCCTTTCTATATTTATTACACTCCAGAATTGTCTACGCTCAAGGAACTCGGATTTTCAACCTTGAACTTCGAGGTACATAGACGCGCACGTGATGTTCCGGTAATGCCCGGCCCCTTCTTCCACTATATGGCGGCTAAGCTCTTCATCTTGTATTTCGACTACCCATCGGGGACATGCAACATTGAATTGCGAACGTTCGAACGTCAAGACCACTGCCAAGAGAACAGTCCGGAACTCGCTCTACAAGAAACCTTTCACTACTGTCCAGCAATCTACTACTCTCGTTAACTGCACCGCTCCTGTCCATCCGTTACCATCGCAGAGCGAAGAACCCGCTATTTGGACTCGAATCGGAAACTCTGGGATCTTGACTTCGGCTCGGGGATGTCCTCTGCGATCTAATGACGCGTTCCTAGGCTGCATAATTTCGCGGCGCCGGGGAATGCCTCTCTCTCAGAATTAAACTGCGTCCTCGCGATAAAAATCCGAATCAACATCGGACAGATCATACTCATACGCGTTGCCTTTCATCCGGCTATCGTTGAAATTTCGACAAAGCCAGCTCAATCAGCCTCTGCAAGTTGAATCGCCACCGCGACTCAATTCATGCACTGTGATCTTTGGCAACGCCCGAGCTGTTTTATCTGGATCTTTTAATCCGCACTCGCCAGCCGCAAGCATTCCGAGTCGACGCAGTTACTGCCATTCCCCTCGAAATTGTGGGTCCTCATGGATCGTTTGAACCCGTGGTGCTCTCTGGACAGTTCAATATGTGTCCTTTGACTCAGACTCGAGTCCCGAGCCGCTGACAGCACCTCAGGGAGGCTAATAATACCGTAACTCCAAATCAGTTGAAGATGTGAGCGCTTGAATCGACGTGCCGAATTCAATCGCCCCTGGGAGCCCTCTCAAGTATTGCTCTCTGAGATCCGCGCAGTGGCTATTCATATAAAGAGCGCCCCCCCCTCCCCCCCCTCCTCGTGTATTGCCCGCCTCCGCTTGGCCCTCGAATTCTGCATTTGGCATCTCGTATGCTCCGCTTCCTCTTCGCTATCTGTACGGGAAAGCTGCGTGATTCTTGCGCATCTCTTCGGAGCTCTGGATGTCCCGCTCGATCCCACCCTCTGTGCTTCGAAATTGCTCCCCATAAAGACTGTTAGGCTCCTCCGCTCAGTGCTACAGTTTATAGATGAATAGCTGCTGGTCTCATCCCAATCCCCCTCGCTGCGTAAGTTCTGTCCAGCTCCACCCGTCTCTTGTCTCCATTGATAACTCGGAAGTGCGAAGAACACGCGTTGGGGCTGTCGGGCTGTCCGGTCCCCGTACCTCCTCAAGTTTAGGTGGGCAATGTCCCGTCGTTCTTCCTGCGAACGAAGATCGACAATTAATATTGTTACGATAGCCGCCGAGACTTGAGCCAGGACTCGTACTCGGGCCAAGGTTAAGGCTCCGAGTCCGCAGCTGTGCTATTCAAGCCATTCTTCAGCCTCAGCCGGTCTCCGCTTTCTCACACCACACTACTGTAGCGCTCATTTAACGTCTCAAGCTCAACCTTGAACTGTGATCATAATATTCAGAACGGCCCGTACAATGAAGATCCTCCTTGAACCACTTTGAATAAATTCTGATTAACACCGAAACTTGGCTAGCTCAAGTAAAGCAAGAACTCCTGTCTGGACATCATCACAAGAATTCAGGCTCGGGCGCCAATTGCTCTGGGGCTGTGGTAACATACACCGTGAATTGGCGTTGAGTTGGACTCTCTCGCGATTCCATCACTCACGTGTTGGTCTACCGATCAATGTACTGGGTCCCCAAATGGGAAAAACGCGAAAAAGAAATCGAAAAGGGAAAGAAAGAGAGAGATGTAATTGAGCTTCATCGGAAATTTCTACGACTTAAAAGATATTCAAAAATATGTTACTTTCTCTCAACACCATCCCACACAAACAAATGCATGGCAAAAAATGAACATAGCATGCAACTTCACCTAACCACTCGTGCATTGCAGATTCATATCGAGTCATTGGCTCGGTGCATACATTGAGAGGAAACAAGAGCACGCCGGGACACTCCGCGCCCCGCCACTTCACCGCGTCGACTGCCGCCGGTGATATCTGTGCGGAGTTTAAAGGCTTCAAACAGACGTTATTTTATAAAGAGTTAGATGGTACAACATACCGGGCGGGATGCACATATGAAAAAGCAACAAATACCGGGCAAAGCGGTCCACAAGCGAAATATGTCGGGGAAAGCAGCACGTCAGTTGTTCCTGGAGAGCTGAGGTTGCGAGGAGCAGACGAGTCGAGGCAGACTCATCTATGAGTGCTTGGATATAAATACAGTATAAGGCTCTGTCGATGAACTTCCACGGTCTATGATATTCAATCCACAGATGCGAGATTCTGACTCAACGAATGACAGACACGCTCATTTGAGCACTCGGGAGATTTCTCAAGCATTCCTTTGGATCCACGAAAGAGATAAAAGGAAGGGAAGACACCCGGAAGTACGCGAGAAATGCTCGGTACAAAATTATGAGCATTGACATATTGTAAACTTCAGAATGCCTACAGGAGCTTCAAGTGATAAACAGGGGTTCATGTAATAAGAATGGCTGATTTTGAAGACAGTATATGGGTAAAGGGGCTGCTCTTGTCGCTGCCTCCGCGCGAACAGCATGTTGACTGTATTTCTCTCTGTCTGCATGCTACAGCCAGAGGAGAAATGAGCTGAACGGGCCAAGAGCTTTTATTTACAAGCAGGCAGGCAGGCACAAATTAATGAGACATTCAGAACCAAGGGAGGCCTACAGCGAGCAAGATCATTTTGGGTGGCACATAACCGTTAAGTGCCAGTGACGTTACCTGATGTGACTATCACACGGCTTTGGTCGGTGCGCTCACTCAACGGAAACGGCCGCGCATACAAACAATTTGAGGGATGTAAGCTACTACTTCATGGCCTCAGATTGCTCAGCAATATTTTGAGGAATTATGAGTGAGGGTTAATGGGAGCATTTTTGACCGCGGGTTATGACTATCAGTGGCTGTGTCACATAACGGTTATTGCACCCAGCTGATCCGTCGGTAAACCCACGTGTTCGTGTTTCGGCCGCCGCGCACCGCCTCATCGCCTCATGTCTTCTCCCTTCACCTCTAAGCTCGGGACGAATTACTGTCCCAGCGATGAGGAGACCATTGCAATTTAAACCCTCCTCGTTGAACCCGCGCTCCGATTGCAGCGTCTTGATGATGATATCGCCGATTTGCGGAAAGCGCTCGAGAAACTGGCAAACGAGCGTGAAAGGCTTTGTACCTACGTGGACGCTCATAAGGCCCTCATTTCGCCAGTTCGACGACTTCCGTTCGATATAATCCAAGAAATATTCATAGCCTGCATTCCGACGCACCGAAATTGCGTCATGAGTGCCGTGGAGGCGCCCGTCCTTCTAGGTCGCATTTGCAACTCCTGGCAAACCATATCCCTCTCGACACCCTGTCTTTGGTCCAGACTTCACGTCGTGGAGCCCATCCCATCGAATTTCGCTGTCCCTACACTAATTGATAAGAAGGTGGCTCAGCGACTTGAGACCACCAAGATGTGGCTAGGTCAATCCGGCCAGTGCCCGCTGTCGATATCGGTTAACGCCATGGCTAGTGAGACTGGTTTCGCCGCCCAAATTATTCAGGCTCTGCTCCCATTCAAATCACGTTGGGAGCACATCGCGTTCACGACCAAGTCTTCGGTTTTTGGGGCGTTATCGCATCTCACCGAGGTGGACGTGCCTATGCTCAAGTCGATCCACATCACTGAGATCCGTGACCAAACCCCCTTCCAATGGAACTCGCTGCAGTTCCTTCACAGCTCCAACATTCTTTCCGCCTACATCTCGGGCGGCAATTTCACTCCCCTGGAGTTATCGCTTCGGTGGAGTGGTCTAAGAGACCTTTCCATCGAAAGATGGTGGGATCATGACGGTGTAGCTATGACAAGAGATATGGCGCTCCAGCTGTTCTCCCGGTGCCCTCAGCTCCGAACCTGCCGGCTTCAACTTAACGGTGACCTCGAGAACCACAGCAGCTTGGAGGAGCCCATCCTCGAGCTCCCTTTCCTTCATACACTGGCGGTAGAGTGTTTTGAAACCCCTTCAACCACCATTCTTCCTCTGTTCGACCGGCTCTCGTTCCCACAATTGCGGTCTCTCACACTTCGCGGCCGCATAGGCTATAATGATTCCACCCTCTACGGCCCGTTGTTCGCCGCTGCGCCACGCATCGAAAGCCTTGACCTGACTACCGAATTGTTCTCCAAGACATCCCTTGCAGATTTGATTCGCGGGATACCCCATACTATTCGGGAAATCAAGATCAACGCGGTCGATGTATACAGCGAAGGCCCTTCCAACATTCTCGATGATGAGATTATTGAACTCCTCATGCCATCTTCTGAATTCCCCGCCCCCTGCTGCGCGGGACTCGAGGTGCTGGAAATAAACAAAGGCTATTATTTTTCCGACGACACGCTCTTGCGTTTGATTGAATCTCGCACATTGAAGCATTTGATCCTTCACTTTGCGCGGGAAAAGGAGCGCGA